ACATCTTTGTTATTCAGAACATCTTGCTGATATCATCATCTGGAAATTGATTAGGAAAAAGCCAAACCGTTGTGATTGTCCTCATTGCCCCTGTAGGTTTGTAAAAGCTGATATTCTGATATAAAGTTAAGCAATAAGGCATATTATATCCCAATCTAACACTGATACATTTATTATTTATATTTGTTTTGAATATACATGTACTAATTTAATGCAAGTCAATTTTCAAGATAACCAATCCAAATTACTTTCATAGACTTGTCAATCATTCAATCTGGACAGAACAATTCACCATATTAGGGATAACTGTGACATATTTATGTACATGCCGGCTGATCTTCGTCAGAATCAGTCGCATGGATATAATATGTTACCGCAGCCTGCTCAGATGTAAGGAACCGAACCTGAGAGTTTCAAGTAGATTTACCTAATATATTGCAAATTAAAAAAAATGTTATTGTTTAAAAAATAATATATCCCAAACTGTGATTTTATCGCTCAATAACATCACTGTTTGGAGTTCGGATGCGAGGAATTATATCACGAGGGCGTAGCCCGAGTGGTATAATGATGCGCATCCGAACGACAAACAGTGATGTTATCCAGTGATAAAATCACCGATTTGGATATATTATTTCGATTCTAACACGACATAAACAAATAAATGTTGCCGTACCTGCTATTAAGCAAATTTGCGCCTGATTTGTTTCCGAACTTATTGTCAGCGCGTCGGATTTCATAGTGGTTACGTCACATGTATAATGATTACGTCACATGTCTAAATATAGAACGTCAAACAGTGACTCTTTTGCATAATAACACACACTTTCGGTTCTTTTATGTTCAATAGAAAATGCGGGTCGTGTTAGAATATTTCATTAAGAACTGCAAGCACATCCGATAAAATTCTGTGATATGCGATTTATTGTGTTCTTTAACATAAAATAAATTAATGTATCGTTGATATTTTTCTGTCAATCATTACCGATACAAAATCAAAATAGAATCGATTTATACTTCTGCCTAATAAATGAAACGTTTAGAAATGATTAACTTAGCAAAGAATATATAAACATTATAATGGGCGCGTCCCAACTATATCGGCTGTAACCATCGTTACTTGATAGGCTTTATTTATTTTGTTAATTTACATATTTTATAGCAGTGACAATGACAATAACTGGCAGGGGAGACAGCACGCTCTACTAAATAGGTCAATAAGTAAAGGAAAACAAAACTATGAAAAAATCAAATATGATACACAAATATATATTTCTTATCAAGAAAGTACTCATATGTTCAATATATTTGCACCTCCTGTAACAAGTTCAAACTCTTATGAAACTATGAAAAACTCTTCAATTCTAATCAAACTTGGCACAACTGTTGACTGGACCATTGCCTTTGTAACGCCATGCTCAGAATTAAATGTTCGGTTACCATGGCAACGAGGGGACATCTCAAAATTGCCAAAAATCACTATTTTGCGTTCATTTTTTCCATCAAAAGTGATTTCAAAGTGCTGCAACTTGTCAATGGATTGAGATAGTGTCAAAGGCTTTTCAGCGTCGATTACACATTACATTATGATCGACCAGAGATCATTTCTCACAAGTCCAAAATTCTCTAGTCGATTAGGAGGACTACCGCCCCTTCAAACCCCCAAACAGAAAGGTGAATATCCCTCATCTGACAATCGCCGGATGTATATTTTTGACAGGACTGGTGGCGGCGCCGAAAAAGTAATCACTTTTTTAGCAATATTCTTTAAACGAAAAACAGTGTTTGGAGCCTAAATATGGTTATGTTTGCAAGCCCCTGATGCACATCTTTGACAGGGGCGGCGCCGAAAAAGTAATCACTTTTTAAGCAATACTTTCCAAACGAAAAAAGTGTTTAAGGCCTAAATAGGGTAATGTTTCACTGTTTGAGGCCTCAAAGAAGGGTGGAGGTCGGAAAGCCATCAAAACATGTTTATATGAAGTAGAGGGTTACCGTTGATACATTAAGATAGAAAAAGAACTGATTGTTAAGAAATTAATACTGCACAAATACTAATTTGAAATATGTATACCAACGAAGTTGAAGCCAACGCTGCGGTGAGTAGGACTAGGACAGCTCTCGATATAGTTTGTACAGTCAAGCTAATGATCAACAGAAAAGTGAGCATGCATGGAGGACAAATCATCACTTAATGCAGTTACAGAAATACTTCATAAGGAAATCATGTGTCATGTGAAAAGGTATTAAGGTGAAATATAGGTACATTTTACTAGACGTATCAATTTGTCATTGATATTTAGTATCATTACGATATTGACAGAATTGTCGATATGCGTTTGACTAAATTAGTTACACCTCTTCAACGAGGACTATCTAATCCCTTCAGGAATGATGCAATTTGTTTTTGCATATTTTTACTGATATTATCTCAAAGATTCTTTTTTACAAGATATGTTTGTAACGCATTTAATAATTATTCTCTACCCGCATTCAATTATTTATGTTGCCAGTGATCTTCACATTGACCTTTGACCTAGTGACCCCATACTGACATGTATTAAGTAATACATATGTTCTCCCTTCTTTGAAGACAAGCATTATTGAAGTTATGTTTAAGTGAGGAACACCTGTGAAATTTGAGAGCAATGAGAGTCATTGATCTTTGACCCAGCAACCTCAAAATCAATATTGGTAATATCCTTGGCAAGACCAATCAACTGTAGAGTTTGAGAGCTGAGAGCTCATTGGTTGCCATATTATTGGTTTGAAACTGTTATGACATACAAGGTCAGTGTGACAATGACCTTTGTTCATTTGATCTAAAAATCAATAGGATTCATCTTCTAGCTCAGATCAATGCACCTGGGAAGTTTTATAGCCAAGGGCCTATTAGTTGTAGATAAGTAATTGTTTGGAAACTGTTTTGAAATGAAATTGACCTTTGATCATTGACCCCAGAATCAATAGGAATCATCTACTGACTAAATCCAAATTGCAGCCAAGCAGATTGAGGGCCATGCATCCATTGGATGTCAAGTTATTGGTCGTAAAAGATTTTGACTTTCAATGTGACCTTGAACTTTGACCCAAAAACAGTTAGGGTCATCAATAGGACATAACTAATCTCCATAGCAAGTTTGAACTTACTTTAGTTACTGATTGGAAACAGTTTGACTACAACAGACTGACAAAAGAACCTACCGAGACAAGCATGAAACAATAAGTCACTTAGTACAATATATTCCCAACATCATCTAAGGGGGCATAACTATGTTAATTTACATCTACAGTTTATTAAGCTCTGCATCATAAATAAAACTATTAAAAGGCTAACCAAGACAAGAGGAAGTTTTTCAAATACATCTCTACAAATTGATATATCATCACACAATGCTCCATGTAAAATGCCACGGGAGATTCTGCACAACCAAGAATAGGAAATTATATTCCAAGGCTACTGTAAAGAGGAATAACACATATTGTATAATTGAAATTTTTAACTGAAATTGTACAATTTATATGTAGTTCAACATTTTACTTACAAGTATACGTGTGGTATACTGAATCCCATGAAAGATAAGTTATTACAGGAGGCAAATACTGATATGTAGAATTGTAACGTCATGAATAAAAACTCTTGTCTACGTGAGTCCTATTATGATCTCAAAGAAGTAAATGAAGTTTCAACTTGTTTCAAAGTCATATGGCATTGGACTTTGAAAATATTTGAGGCGGTACGAAAACTATAATGAAAAGGGGCATTTTTTTTTGGTAAAAATTCTTGGTAGAGTTATCTCCTCCTGTCTACAAGTTAGGGCATGATGGTGAACAAGTGTGCAAAGTTTCAAAGCCATTTAATATGTGAATGGACTTTGAAAATATTTGAGCTGATACGCAAACTTTAACGTACATTATAAGTAAAACAGGAGCACAATTCTGTCAAATTGCTTGAAAAGTTTCTCTTCCTGTCAACAAATCGGGGTGTGAAGGTGAATAAGTCTGCTAATTTTCAGCCCCATATGTCAATGGACTTTGAAGATATTTGAGGTGGTATGAAAACATAAGCGTAAATTCTAAGTAAAAAGGGGGGCATAAATCTGTCGAAATTTTTGATAAAGTTACCTCCTCCTGACTACAGGTTGCGGCATGTTGGTGAACAAGTGTAAAAAGTAAAAAAAGCCATAGGTGTATGGACTTTGGAAATATTTGAGATTGTATGGACATTTTTACGTAAATTCTAATTCGGAAAAGGAGCATAATTCTGCCAAATTGCTTGATATAGTTACTTCTTCCTGTCTTCAGGATACGGTTCATAGTGGTGAACAAGTGTCCATTCTCCTGTCATTCTACAGGTTAAGGTCGGGATATGGACAAGTGTGCAAATTTTCAAAGCCATATGTCGATAAACTTTGAAATTATTTTTGATGGTAGCGACTTAACATAAAAACTCAGACGAAAAATGGGCATAATTTAATCAAAATACCTGATAAAGTTACCTCCTCTTGTCTACTGGTTTTGGCCATGATGGTTAATAAATGTGCAAAGATTCAAAGCCATATTGAGATGTAAAATGTGACAATATTTCAGGTGGTATGAAATTTAAATGTAACTCTTAGTCGAAAAGGGGACAAAATTCTGCCAAAATGCTTGATAGAGTTACCTCCGTCTGTCTACGGGTATGTGGGCATCATTGTGAACAAGTGTGCGGCGTTTCAAAGCCATATATCAGTGGATTATGAAAACATTTAAGGTGGTATTTATTAAACAATTGTCATTAAAAGTTTTATGTTAACTTTAAAATATACTTAAAAACATAACAATTATGGAAAAGTATTAAAAAATAAAATGTTTTATCATTATATAAAGTTTATTTTTATTTAATTAAAAAAAATCTTAAAATGTGATTCATTAAGAATTATCTATTGAAATACTTAAAAAATTATGCATTAAAAAATAATATTAAAATAATTTAATAAAAAATCTCTAACCTTTAAAATATTTCCAAATCCTAATTCCAAGTTATCCATTTAGTTCAGATAAAAAAACTTACTTGAATTATTTTCCTATTAAATTGATTTTATGAATTATTTATTAACACTATCATTTAAACTTTAAACAGAAATAAATATTTAAAATTAAATGACCAAACTATACAGTACATGTATAACGTTGATGAAATAACAATTTTGTTTTTAAGTGCACATTTTTAAACTGTATTTTTTGAATGTCTTGAAGTTATTTCTCCTGTTTAATAAGTTATCTTTCCTTTATTCGTTTTTTACTTGGTTTCCCTTTGTTTTGAACTCAAACTGGTATTCATGAATCACATGAAAAGTTTGTGAACTCCGAATATTTTCTCTGACACGTTCATATTCAGTTTCCGGCGAAATGTCGGCCATCTTTACTGAGACTGACTGCGGCAGATTTTCCAACATGGTAATAAAGTTCTGTAAACTTCCTGCAGACATTTCTATACACTTCAACTCCACACGTTCAATATGCAACATGTCACGTGACAGTAGCAATGAACTTTCATCTAGATTGATGACCCACAACCTAACATTAACTAATGACGGTGTTGATATATTTAATTGTATCTTCCAAGGTAAATCCCGCATGTCTAACTTTGAAAGACTTGAATTTTGAGACAAGTCTAAGTTCCATCTCTTACAACCATTGCGGCCATGTTCTTTACAGTGTAACCACTTCAATGTTAACTCTTTCATTGATTTTTGACCGGAGGTAAAACTGAAAAATGTTTCCAGTATTTTATGAGATAACTTGAAGCCTACAATATATAAATATTGTAAGTTTTGACATCGTGCCATGTTTCCACACCGTACCATGTTTTCTTCATCATTTGTCCATTTTCCATTACACAAATATACGTTCTGTAAACTGGGAAACAATATCCTATTTATCTCAGCCTCCTGCTCCCAGTTACCCTCATAGTAAAGTTTCTGTATATGACTGAGTTCTGTGAGAGAGAATAAATCTATAACTTCACGTAAACTGCTGGAAGCCAATCTGATGTCTATATAAAGTGATTTTATGTTGGTGTTATTGTGTTTTAACAAACGTTGTAACTGCTCACTGTGCACGGTGTTTTCCTTAATGAAGAAATCTTGTAAGCATAATTGAATATTATCACTTTCAGGCATTTCTTGTAAACACGACATGAACAATTTCTGTATTTTATACAATGGTTTACTGTACGTGTCCTTGCAAACTGCCCCAGTTCTATAGTCGCGTGTTTTCTTGTCTTCATTTATCACAGACATCAAATCGTTTGATATTGCACACATGTTGTCAACATTCATTTCACTTAAAAATTCATAAACTTTCGACATGTCTAGGATGTCTTGAACATTTTTACATTTTTCTAGAACAATTTTCTCAGCCTCATTTTCAGAACTTATGAATATTGTAGCAAAGAATTCTTGAACTGTTTTGTGGGAAAATGATACTTTACTATACTTTTTTGTTAGTGTTTTTGTTGTACTTTCTGACAACATTCCTGAGTGAAGGGCAAATTTCATCTCGTCTTTTGAGAGATATTTTTTAGCAACTGAACAATCAAATACCAGCCTGTTTTCTCTTGTGTCATTGAATAACGTATAATAAGCTAATTTTCCTAAACACATAAGGAGTGGGTAGTATTTTGTACAGTTTTCATATTCAGCAAAGGATTCTTGGGTGTAACTATCAGAAACGTCGCACGCTTGTTGAAGATCTCCATGCTTCTCAATCGTTCTTGATAAGAGCAGTTCTACTATATTTATATAGAGTTCACATTTTGAATTTACTATTTCAACACCGTCACACCATAAACAAATTGTATATATCAAAAGTAGAGGCACAGATGTAAGTTCATCATTTTGTCTGCTTTTGATTCCTGATATGAACGCTGTGACATCACGTTGTAATGCATTCTCATTTGCGTAAAATTTCAATTTTTGTAATATCCTGTTTGTAAGTGTAACTGCTGAGTCGTAACTCAGTTTTGTTAGTTCTACCTTAATTCCTATTTGACATGAATTCAAATTCAAAACTCCTAATTTCCATGGTCGCGTAGTGGTCAGTATTGTACACTTCTCTCGGTCATTCCTATGGGGAATTGATCGCGGCGATCTGTGACATTTCTTTTCGGGGTGGGTCCATTCATCTAGTCCATCAAGTATAACGAGGCATTTCTCATTTTTCAAAATTTTAAGGACAAAATCTTCGGAAGGCTTTTCTTGTAAACCCAAATTTGAAACAATCTTTTTAAATATGAGATCATCTATAGAACATAAATCGTTCGAATCTCGCAGTAAAACCAGAAATAAGAAATCGAATTCCTGCATACAGTCTATATCATCCTTTTGAAAAGATTGAGTCATGTTTTCATCTGGAAAATGAGCTTGACACCAGGTGATCGCCAAATAGTTTGAAAATGCAGTTTTTCCGAGACCAGCATCAGCAATTACATGTATTTCTCGGTTAGCTTGATTTCCAGTTTTAAACATCTTCAATAAGGAAATGACTTGTCTTTTTTCATTGACTTGTCTTTTATCATTGACTTTTGTTTTTTCATCATTTCTCTTCGGTGCTGAGATTATTAAGTTCAATTCAGGTCTTATGTAGAAAAAAGCCAAAGGCGTGTCATTTTCTACGAAAAGGGGCGACAAGAAAACTTTACTGTGTCTCGTTTTGTAGAATTCAATCAAACCATCTTTTAGCTCTGAAAAATGAAATGTAAACCGTTAATAACTCAGTAATGTATTCTAATAATAAACTGATTATAGTTTTAATTATATTTCTATACTTTAATTGTCTATTATTTTTTAAAAATAATTTATGTTATAACAAGAAAAGCATTGATGCAAAGCATCAAAGCGCGACGCCAAAAGAATTTGATCCAGGTTTGCACCTAAATACTTAACAAAAGATGTGTATTTTATAGCAGTACCATGTCATGTGACCTGGAGGCTAGGCCCCGTTTAAGTTGAAACTTAAACCAAAAAGAGTAGACTCTGTCTTGCCACGATGCAACGACAATTTATGGTCAATAAACCAATCTTAAGATTTACTTTACCAGATACAAGGATACCTGAGTCATCATCATATAATCACAGGCACGAGTATCGGGCCAGGGAAGAACAATATGACCAGATTGATAAAAAAACTGTTTTCATCTTAAAACCAAAAAAAAAAAAAAGTGTAAATAATAACCCCATTTAAAAATATACTATTTACTTAAACTATATTTTTAAAGGGGTCATTATTTACATTCTTTTTGTGACACTTTTAAGATGATCACAGGTTTTTTTTTATAAATCTGGTCATATTTTTTCTTCCCAGGTCTGATATTTGTGCATGTGCATATAATAAAAGCTTATTGCTTAGGGTTGCAGACATGTCATTTACATATTTTAGACATAAAAGAGGACCCAAAATGAACATCAGGGGGACACCAAAGGTACTCAGAGCAGTAGTAGGAGTACCAGCCACATTAACCAGCTACTATCAGAGATAAGACTTGAACCATGTAAGAATGTCATTACATATGGCAGATGCTTGAAGTTCCATGAAGAAGAAGTAAAAGTATAGTGTGTAGCTTCTTTCCGGCCACCATCATCCTCTGGAATCGCCTACCCATACAAGTTGTTGAGAAACCAACCTTGGCGGGATTCAAGTCGGCGCTGACAAAACACTCAACCTCCAACTAGACACATTGCCAGTTTTTACAAGATTTTAAAAAGATGTAAATAGACAATTTTTAACTGTAAAGAGGAAACCAATTGCTGCGCATGTACATAGTTTTAGTTTCATCGCGATTATGCTCTATGAAGAGTGAGGCGATTACTGAAGATGATAATGTATCAACTGTATCAAATGCTTTTTGTAGATCTAAAAGTATCATGCAAAACTGCCTTTGTCCATTTCAAATTAAATGCAATCTATTAAATGAATCAAACATGTGTCAGTTGAAAAAACCACTTCTAAACCCTGACTAAAACTGCCTGACCATGACTCGAACCCAAGACTTTCAGAAGACCAACTGAGCTATCCGGCCGGCTACACATTTTGTCTTTTAAAATTAAACAGTCCTAAACCTAAACCTATTTCCCCACTATATTGATTCATGTTCTTGAATTTCTGATGTTTACAGAGCATAGTGAATTAAACTCATGGTTATTTGCAGTCACAGGATGAGAATTACTTTCAGCTTGACCAGAACTCAAACCTGTGACCCACAGAATAATGTACCGCGGCTGTAGCGATTGAGCTATGTATGCACATAGCAATAATAATTCCAAGTTTCTATTAAATAAATATGAAATCCTAACATTAACATTAACATTGGTACTAATGGATGGAATTCAAATCTAGTAGAAAACTATAATATATAAACTATGTTATAGATACTATTATTAGCCAGCTAACACTGGGTATAAACATCTATAACCTGTAGACTGATCAATACATGTATTATCATATATAAATTTAAATGCAAGTCTCATCCATCATAACTGTAAATCTTTAAATACAGAAATACACATTATATCCATATACTATTATACACTTGTATGCACATTAAAAATAAATATAACATCCTATTAACATTGGTGTTTGGATGGAATTCATAATCTTATAGAAAGAAAACTATAATGTACATGATATTGTATAGTATAAAAGTAAAAAAAAATCTCAAATAGTCTATATCATATAATAAAGATTAAGTTGTGGGAGTGTCTAAACATTAAATGCATATCTCTTACAGTAACAAATACTGTCTTTCTTTTAACCTTCCATAAGTCTAACTGCATATATACGAGTATATCAAGTGTTTAAAATGAGCACCTATATGTATAGCTTAAATATTCTATTAACAATTTATATACAAACACATAGAAAATAATAATTTCACATATTGATTGGAAGATTCCTCTAGCAGAATACCTAGGTATGTACTAGCTGAACAAACTAGAAAAATCTGGTCCAGGGTATATAACGCCAGTAAAAAAATATATATCAATATTCACTCATCAGGGCATCTATGCTTTTGATGACCTTACAACTGGTAAATTTTATAAAACAAAAATAGTAAGTAATACCTTAGATAGACAGAAAAGAACAAATAATTTAGTAAACATGAGTTACTTCCCCTTACAATAAAAAAAAACCTGAAACCCAAATGAACACCCTAAACATCAAATAATTAAGAAATGTTGCAGGCAAAGTTTTATTATGCCATGCAAATTACCGGTAAAGTATTCATAAAAAAATAGATGGCCATGTGACAGCAATGATTGCAGAAAATCAGAAAGCTGTCATCATCCGGATCCTGGTACACTTTGTAAAAACAACCATTATGTGCAACAGATAAACGTAAAATGGATAAAATCAATAGCATAATCGTTTACAACAGTCCATTACCTATCCTTATACTCATTTGCAGGTGAACTTTCTTCTTGTAGGAAAATTTTGAAAATATATAAATGAATGAACGAATGGATACGGCATCAATATAGACCACAACGATATTCGAAATCCGGGTTTTAGTATTGTCAATAAAACTAAGGGCCAATCTGTTAAACTAAGCCTGCAATTTCGTGAAAATAATATCACAATGCACATGCTTTTTATATAAAGTAATTAAATACAAATATAACAACATATTTGTTTACTTGATTTTTACGAATCAAAATAAATCTAATTAACACAACATGAAATTAACTGCTAATAATAACAGCTCCTTCCATAGGCCAAAATAAAAAGCTTCCATAAGATACCGGCGTCGCCAATAATCTGAATAGAGTAACAATTTACAGTACAATCACGTATTTCAATAATTGTATCACAATGTTACAGGGATTCGAAGTGTGTGCTTAATTACTAAATATCCATGTATTTTGTTATGTGTTTTATTGTGCATAATTGTACCGAGATAAACGACAGGGTAAACTAGACATATCCACCACATGAAGTATTTTTCGCCAAATGTAATCATTTAAATTGTATAACACTAGAGAACAGATTTTATCCATTTGAATTTAATAATGTTTGTCTAAGTATATTTGTACTGAGAAAAACAAAAAGGCCATCTTGATATAAAGTTGCTCACCTGAGAGACATTGTTAGTCAAGTTTTAAGTTAAAAAGTAAAAATGTACATGTGGTTTAAACGTGAAGACTGTAGATTTGAAATGAAGCAAACGTCTTATTAAGAAAGTAGACCTTTTTAGTTATGAATTTTTTGTAGTAAACCAAGTTATAAAATTTCTGTTCTCCTCTTTAAAAAATATATATGTATAGTACTTGATAAGAAACGTTTGTTTCGAACCTAATTGCTTGCAAGTTGTATAATTATGTATAAGTTAAAGTTATATTTTTTTATTTCTTAGTCTATTACAAATATTGGTTTTAATTATACCGTGGATTGTTAACTGGACCAAGTTACTCGTCTTTTGCTGCATTGAAATCAGAGATTTATTTTTGATATGCAGTATTTACTTTCATGAATAGTAGTCCTTTCTTGCACATGAGTTAAAGTAATAAGAACTGTCTTTCATAAAATCCCGTTTCAGATTACAGATGTATCTGTGATTAATAACTATGTAATTTTGATTCACCCGCCCTTTTACTAAAGCCACCTTAAAAGAAAATGCAAAATTAAAAATTGAGCTATTCAATATCATTTGTTACATTAAATTTTTACTATGTATTAAAATGTAGTTTATATTTCATCGGTTTTGGGTATTTTCATAAATATACAAAACTGAAAAAGGAACCAACCACATTTTTCATTCAAAATTCATCTGAATTAGAGTGCTCTTACATGTCAGCTATACGTACATAAATATCGTGATATCCAACAGACTGACAGAGGCTATAAGTATTGTTATATCCCACTAGCTGACAGAGGCTTTAACCACGGTAATATCCCACTTGCTGACAGAGGCAGTAAATACCGTTATATCCTACTTGCTGACAGAGGCAATAAATACCGTTATATCCCACTTGCTACACATGCAGTCAATACCGTTATATCCCACTTGCTGACAGAGATAGTAAATACCGTTATATCCTACTTGCTGACAGAGGTTATAAAAACTGTTATATCCGACTTGCTGTCAGAAGCTATAAATACTGTTATATCCCACTTGCTGACAGAGACAGGTATATGTAATACCGTTATATCCCACTGGCTGACAGAGGCTATAAATACCTTTATATCCCACTTGCTAACAGAGGCAGTTAATACCGTTATAGCCCCCTTGCTGACAGAGGCAGTCAATACAGTAATATCCCACTTGCTGACAGAGGCAGTAAACAACGTTATATCCCATTTGCTGACAGAAACTATAAATACTGTTATATCCCACTTACTAACAGATACAGTAAATACCGTTATACCCAACTTGCTGGCAGAGGCATTAAATACCGTAATATCCCCCTGTCTGACAAAGGCAGTAAATATCGTTAAATTCCACTTGCTGACAGAGGCTATAAATACTATAATATCCCACTTGTTGACAGAGGCTATAAATACCGTTATATTCCAATTGCTGACAGAGGCTATAATTACCATTATAGCATAAAATCGGCTATTTTTCCCTTTTTTGCCCATGTTATAACGGGGCCAAAACCATGCGTTAGCATAGTCACGCGCTCTTGTTATAGCCCGGTTTTACCTATGCGCAATACATAGAGGGCCCAGTACACAAACAAAAAATGA